AAAGCACTCTTAGGCCAACCACAACAGGTGTGTCACATGCTGCCAAGGAAGTGGCTGCCGGGCTAGGGCATCTGAAGCCGATGTGAGAAGGGCTGCCCTGACTCCATGAAAACCCTTTCTGTGGGCAGTGTGAGGAAGCACCAGCAGCTGCAGGCAGTTCTATGACTGCAGCCTACAGCAACCACTCAGCTGCAGGGGCAGCGAATCATCCCTCCCTGCCTTGACTGGAGGGGCCTGGCTCATGTGTAGTTAGAGGAGATAGATCTCAGCTCTTGAACCAGACTATTCCAATAGCAAGTGGGGTTTTGCTGGCTAAGCATCCATGGTGAGCAGGGAGGGAACATCCAGCTTTACAGGGCTGTTTCTCAACTAGTCTGTAACAAAGATTTTGAGAAGCTAATCTTTAAAACCTTTCTGGGCATCTACTTTTATGGACATTCCATATAAAAAAAAAATAAAAATAAACGGCTGCACGCTTTGGCAGGGCTGCCAGCATGCCAGCACCTAGCTGAAGATAGGAAGAAAGTGGGCTGCTCTCCAAAGTGCCAGTAGTGCTTCTTCCTGATGCTGCTGGCCACAGAAATGGGGAGGTGAATCCCCGCTGTTAGCTCCCAAGATAAAGGGAGGCCTGCAGAGGAACAATTGCTCAGCAGTTTTATCACCATCCAGCTGCTGCCTATGGCAAGGTTGGCATCACACAACCAAAATAGTCTTAAAAAGGCCTCCAAGGGTGTTTGGCTCCTTTCTGCTGAAGTGGAAGGCGATGAATGCAGCTCTAATGGATCAAAACAGCTATACCCATCCTCAACAGCATCCTGTGCATTCCTGCAGAACACACTTGCAGGGCTGCCAGCATTTGCTGGCACCCAAAAAAAAGCTCCCTCAGGCCACCAGCCCTGGCCACAGCCACTTGGCTGCGATCTTTGCACAACAGCTTCCAGCTGCAGCTTCAACCAAAAGGCGGCCAACACACAGGGACTGCAAACCAGCACAGCTATTGGCATGCTCTTGGCAGTGGATTTTGTACTGTTCATGGCAAAAAACTTTCAGGCTTGGTTAGGGGCTTTTTTCCCCTCCCACCAAGACATTTTTCTCTGAGCTAAATGAATACAGTGTTTAACTGCTGCTCTCCCACCGTGGGCTAGCAGCAACAGAGATTTCCTGGCTGGCTGAGCCAGGGCTAAACATCCCAGCTTTTAATTCCCTGGCCACAAGACAGGGAAGTGGTTACAGAGCTGAAGCATAGATGGAGATTCACAGGAGCAGAGGGAGGGATCTTACCTGGTCCAAGCCAGCAGCAGCGTGTGAGAAAGCAGAACTATCTTGACACAGATACTATTGCTCTTAAATAAAAGCATCCTCCCTAAAGGGCTGTCACTGAAAACACTGCCAGGACTGCAGCAGGCTGGCAACAGCCAGAAACTTACTAAGGGAAAAAAAGCAAATTACAGCTTTTTAATTTTTTTCTTACCCATTTTTAAAAAAATTAGTCCAATTTTATTTCTCTGACAACAACCATGTTCTAAGCTTTTGTTAATTCCCTCCTGGCCATGAGCTAAACCAGTTTAAAAAAATTCCACAAAAAAAAGCCCCCCAAACCAAAGAAACCCATGTTTCCTACTTACTTTCAGTTAAAATTTCCCTTTTGCAGGTTCTCCATCCTTGTTCTAAACTGAGGGCTGCACAAGGCTCCAGGACCATCACCCACTTAGGCTTTAGCATCCACCCCCAGCCCATGCTGAGTGGGCAAAGCCAAGGGATGGAGTGGGGCTGGCTCAGCTGGGTACCCAAGAGGGGGCAATGGGGCCACCAGTGCCTCTTACACACACCCATATATTCCCTCCACTGCATGAACATCCCCAGGTCTGCTGCACACTTTTCTCCTCAAAGCAGGCAGCCAAGGAGAAACAAGCTGCTGTAGCAGCATTCAGATATTAACATCATTGTTACTGCCTCATGGGAAATGGGAGTTTTTCTTTGCTTTCAGAGGGCAAAGAGAGTGGATTTGTAGATGGGGCAAGACCCAGATGGGACAGAACAACTGTGAGACAAAAGCAGGCACTGAGGGGGAACAGTGGGGTGGGAGAGCAAAAGGTGGGACACACGCCAAGCACAGCAGCTGCTTCCTCCAGCCCCAAGACATCACTCCCTTAACCAAGCACCACAAAAGCATGAAAGTAAAAACACAAGTTTTTTTCCCCTCTTCATAAGCAGTCAACCTTTGTTCCCCTGTCAGCATCCAGCTCATAGTGGGTGCAGGAGACCTGAGCCAGCAGGGGAAAGGTTTCTACCTAGCTGCTTAACCTGCTTCATGAGGCACAGGGAAAAAGCTATTTGGATCCTTCCCAGTTCCACAGCCCTTCCAGCCACTGAAAATCTTTCCAGGAATGAAAGATACAACCCTGATAAGCACATTTTAAAACAAGACAGGCATAGGTTTTAAAGCTGTCCTTCAGTTCAGGCTTGCGTTTAAGCAGCACCAGGGTAATTTGTAACCATTGGGAATTTTTAGCAATTAAAAAACTCCAAAGCTGTTGTGTGAAGTATGAAGCTTTGTCTTCCCAAATCACCTCAGCTTTTCAGCCCCAGGAAACAGCTGCTTGAAATGAAGATGGGTCAGAAGAGGAACTGGGTTATGAGGAAATACACTGATTTCCTTTCCAACTCAGAGTTGCGTCACAGACTGTTGACAAGTGCATTTACTGGCCATGGACCTCCCACTTACCAGGATGTAGTGACTCCCAACCCTCCCTCACCCAGGCTCCACAGCAGGCAGCTACCACAGCACTATGGCTGTGACAGCTGCTTGTTACTGCCACAGCTACTTGTCATGGCCATGATCCTTCCCTGCCACTGATTGTAGTTTAACCTCTTCTCCCGGATGACTGACAGACTTGACACCGCAGAACAGCAGGACTTGCCCTTTTCCCTGAGAAACTGAAGGCAGCAATACATTTTTGAGAAGTGCAGCAAGTGCAACAAGCAGCAAAACCACTCCTCTTGCAGCTCACTGAAGAAAACAAACATAACCAAGTCCTTCATCTCCACAGCCTTTGAACTGACACTTCCATACAGCAGGCTGGGAGGAGACTTTCCATCAGAGGCTCTGCTGTGCAGAAAAGCAGACAAGACTGCTTGGAGCACAGAACCCTCTAGTTAGGTATGTTTGCCCATACCAATTAAATACCCCAATTAGCCTGGAGGACAGATAGGATGACACACAATTTGCCATTCAACCGTGCTCATCACGGTTTGAAGCACCTGCTTTTCCAAGCAGCACCTCAGCTGTACACAGGTGCCACATAGCAATTTGCTCCGGGCTGGTGCCCAGGGCTCCCAGCCTCGGTATAATGAGCCAGGAAGGGGGAGGAGCTATTTCCACTCCCACATATCAGCCCCTCACAGTTTTAAACTTATGATTCACTGGAAATGGGAGCCAGGGCTATTAGGGGCTGCACAACCATACCAGCACTACCCTGCCCACACTAACTTCAGCTCAACTGAGAAGCTCAACTAAGCACCTGTTTCCTCTCCCTTTCCTTTAATCCTCCCAGTTTTTAACAAGGATGCAACAGGATAGGTAAGATAACATCCTCACCTGGTCCCATTAAACAAATCCTCTGCAAGGAAAGCAAGAGACAACCAAGTGATTTTATCTAGGCTTTGAACCTGCCTCCCTGCCTTTCAGCCCCATTGGGTGAAGGCAGGTTACACCATAATTGTACCTCATCCAGAAGCTCAGCTGGCCCAAGATCCTTTCTTGGGAAAGCTAAAAAAAAAAAAAAAAAATTTAAGTTACCGCAGAACTAAAATAGGGTTTATTTAACCAGACAGGAACCTCAGAGATAACTAGGGCACACTCCACTCCCTCCTCCAGTCTCTCACTCCTCCCAGCCTGCTGCCACATCTATCTCACCTGTGCAGAAATGTACCTCCACCTCCACCCTGCAGTACCAGGGGCCAAAAACTGACACAAGATAGCCAAGATGCAAAACCTCACAGCTGGTAAGTGGGCTATGCCCTCCCCTTTCAGGCACCTTAACCTCCTATGCCTCTGCCATTGCTGCAGTAGGAAAAAAGTTAATCATTTGCAGTCCAAGGCAACATCCCTGGTCAGGCACACAGTCAGCAGTGACAGCTGGGGCTGTGAAGGCATTTGTGTTCCTTTATTCAATCCAAACTGCCACAGGGTTGAACAGGTAGAAAGCGCAAGGAACCTGTTACTGTTGCATCTCAGAAAGAACCAGAGAAGCAACGGCCGTTTGCTTCAGGTCTGTCAAACAGATGCATTTCCTAAGAAGGAACACAGCAGGAACAGTATTTTATAAACACTCAGGTCTCAAGCACAGAGATGCACCTGGTTTGGAGGAAGTCTACACTAGGCCATTCCAACAGCTCTCTCCAGGAGGTCAAATACAGAAACCCCTCAAATCCTGCAACTCGACAGAGCTGCAGTTAACATGGTCCCTTCAACAGCCGTCAAATACAAAGGAGCCAGTACCACGGCCAGGCTGTTTTGGAAAACCTAGTCATTTCACCCTCTCCCCACAATGTTCCCAGTACCTAAACTCAGAGAGTGCTGGTGTTAAGACTCCTACTCCCTCCAGTCATCCTCCTACCTTGATAGTGGAGCCATACCAGAACTGAGGACAAACTCAAGTATTCTTGTCTGACAAAGAAGTTCAGCCAGCACTCAGTTTGAATAGCACATATTCCGTTCTGGGATTTTATTATTTTTTTCTTTTTTTTTTTTTTTTTCCAGAGATAAGTCTGTGCAATCATGAAAGATGAAGGTGGTTCACTCCATTATGACATTTCTTGGACTTTGCCTTATTGACTTCTCTTGCACTCCAGAGCCACAGGCAAACTGTGAAATCTGTCTGGAAACAGTCCAGTTGTAGCACACTAGCACCAGGCTATGCTACTGACAGTACCAAATCCCTGGTGTGATCTCTCCTGTGAGTCACCTTAAGAAACACATCAGACCAAAAGACATTACCTAGAATGGGTTTAAATGAGTTTTATTTTAGACAACCTACATGATAGATGTTTTTTTCGTTTTTCAAAACAATGCCTCCACTCCAAATCAGGGTCAAAATAAGTGAATAAAGCTCAAGATGACATCAGTCCAGTTGTTAGACATTGCCGATTCCTGGTGGTGTGCCGATGAAGAAGAAACAGCAGCCAGCTAAGAAGACAAGTGATCCAAAACCATACTGTTTGATTTGTTACTGAAACAAGAGTAGCAAGTGTTAGCTCAAGGGTCACGACAGTCAACAGTAAAGTCCTACAACTTGTGTTTTCCCTAATTCAATCTGGGCTGCCACAGTCAGGCAGGCAGAAAGCGCAAGGAAATTGTTTTTGCATCTTAGTGCAAACCAGAGAGCAACAGGAAAAGTGCCCATGGTCTATCAGAGGATGCTGATCACTTTTACAGTCATTCAGAGCACCTGGCACCAATCAGCTGCTGAGCAAGCTGGACAGAATACTCATTCATACCCTTTCCTAAACAAGTACCAAAGCATACAATCTACTCTCTTAAAACTGGAATACCCCGTCGATATTCTTTTACTCCATCTTGAAGCAGACATAGGCTACCCAAATTGCACATCCAAAAGGTGTGCCCCTGTAGAGAAGATGCACACAAGCTCCTGCTCCCAAGGATGTGCCTTCCAGGTCTGGCCTGTTCTAGGGCCCAGGACAGACATCACCATTCCATCAGGCTGCAGGAGGTGCCAGGTCTGTTTTGGCCAATAAAAGCATTCCTTAGTTTGCCTACTGCTCCACACTACAAGCTGGCTCATCTTTACATGATTTGCATACCAGAAAGTTTTTAAGAGGCTTTACAGATAAATTTAGCTGGCTATTAACAGACTTCATAAGTCCACAATGACTGGGCAAAGCAACTGGTGATCCCACACGGCACTTAATTCCACAGCTCTCCCAATAAGCAAAAGAAACGAGTGTTGGGATCCAAATACTGTTTTGTTGCAACCACATTCCAATGTAGAGTAGTTAAAGCAGACCACAGGAGCTGTCTTGAGCTCAGGTAGCTGGAGATTCCAGAGAGAATAAGGTTAAATACTTGGTCAAGTATTACTGTGTTCCAAAATTTAGGGCAACATTTAAACTGACAGTTCTTGCATAAAAAAATACGGGCATCAGATTTAAGTGAAAGAAGATGGAACGTGACCACACAAAGCAGTGCACAATTAAATCCCACCAGAGGGATCTGAACTACAAGTGCTTCATTTCAGAGCACATTGTCTTTCATCTATTAGTTTAAAACTATTCCCAATTACACACATCTCGCCAGGACAATTCCTTCTGCATTCCTTAGCCATTAAGTCACCATGAATCACTGCTGTGACACTACATCCCCCCGTTTAGTACAAGTTAATAGCATTCAAGGGAAGTTTCAGGCACTTTGCATAATATGAAGCACCAAACAGGCTGTACTTACACAGACTTCTAAGTTTTTAAACTGACAGCTACTGTTCAACTTACACAGGGATAAGAGAGAACAAGTGCTGCACTGAAGGAGCTCATCACATAGTTAGGCACATTCACCCAAATCAGAGCAGTACTTACACACTTCTCGATTTCTAAGCCGTCCTTAAAGAAAATCATATATGGGGTTACACCATCCTCACGGAAGTCCAGGAGAGCCACCATACCATCTGGATTCATGTTCTCTCCTACAAAGAACTTCAAAGCAACGTGTTACTGAGACATTTAATCAGCCATTACCAGGAGAAAATGCGTTTTTATACAAGAACAATACAAAGTCACCAAGTTCAGGTTAGAAGTCTCCCTGACCAGCTGCAGGGATTTTCCTCTCCACAGCTTGCCCATTTTAGTACCACAGGAGGGAAAGGATGCAATCCAAAGGAAGAGGCTTGAGAGTGAGCTCATAGAAACCTCATCAAGTTCAACAATGCCAAGTGCAAGGTCCTACACCTGGGTCAGGGCAATCCTGAGCACAAACACAGGCTGGGCAGAGAATGGACTGACAGAAGCTCTGAGGAGAAAGATCTGGGGTACTGCTGACAGAAAGCTCAACATGATCCAGCAATATGCACTTACAGCCCAGGAATTCAACTGTATCCTGGGCTGCACCAAAAGGAGCATGGCTAGCAGGTTGAGGGAGGTGATTCTGCCCCTCTGCTCTGGTGAGACCCCAGCTGGAGTGCTGCATCCAGCTCTGGAGCTGGAATCCCAAGAAGGATATGGACTTGTTGGAGCAAGTCCAGGACAGCCACAAAGATGAAGGCTGGAGCACCACTCCTGTGAAGACAGGCTAACAGAACTGGGGTTCTTCAGCCTGGAGAAGAGAAGGTTCCAGGCAGACTTTAGAGCAGCATTCCAGTACCCTAAAGGGGGCTACAGAAAGTCGGGAGAGGGACTTTTTACAAAGCCACATTGCAATAGGACAAGGGAGAATGACTTTAAACTGAAAGAGGGCAAATTTAGATTAAACATTACGAAGAAATTCTTAAGTATAAGGTGGGAGGCATAGACCCAGGTTGTCCAGAGAAGCTGTGGATGCCCCATCCCTGGAAATGTTCAAGGGCAGGTTGGATGGGGTTGTGAGCAACCTAGTCTAAGGAAAGGTGTCCCTGCCCATGGCATGGGGACTGGAATTAGATGATCCTTTCCAACTCAAACCATTCTGTGATTCTATAATTTTACCACACTGCTATGAACAGTGTAAGACTCAGCAAGGGCCAAAGTGATCCACATTTCAAGTCTTTTAACTCCACAATCCTTAAACCACAATAACAACAAACACAGCTAACTACAAGCACTATGAGCTGAAATGAGATCCCCAAACACCTAACACCCTTTTGCTGTTTCTCCTCCCTAAGTCTCAGAGAAGAGCAAGTTAAACATCCTCACAACAGGAGAACTCAAAATTCTCAACAAGCTAGTTCAGTAGGTGAACCAGTTTGTAACACTGCAATACTATGGTAAGGAGACACAAGTTACCTGGTAGTTTTTGAAGTTGGCAAGGATGTGTTTGATTTGTTCTGCAGCCCCTGTCATGAAAGGCTTTACTCTCTCTGGCTTGTGTTCCTCAAGTCTGGCTTTGATTCTGGAGGGGGGAAAAAAAAATATCAAAACTCTGAAAACATGTTCTAGTTTAACTTCACTGTGTAAAGTCACATCATAGCAGAAACAGTTACTATCAAACTTTAATTTTGCTTTCCCCCCACTCCCTTTCGAAGCCCCCACATTTTAATTTAATTTTGCTAGTGAAATAGCAGAACAGTGCCTGCCACTCGTATCAGGGTCATTTTACTTCTAGGCTAGCGGTAGACAAAAATCAGCAAGTCATTTCCACAGCACCAAGAGTACTTTCTATCAGTGTCACAAAGCTTTTTCACCTTTAGTAGCAATCCACTGAACAGAGATAAACAGAAAGTACATCTCGAATTAGCAAAAAGTCCCATTCACACACATTTGTTAGATATTTGCCAACTTAGAAAAGCTTCAGAAAGCTTTTCTTTACCACCTCACTCCCATCCACAGGAAGGTTTGGCATAAAAAAAATACAGAAGAAAACAGCAAGGTTACAAACTAGATCTAAAGCATGTGATCAGGTCCTCTACCTCAGCCAAGATAAACATAGATATTCCAGCATCACACTCTGGAGCTCCAGTTCTGCCAAGTATTCAGACATTGCTGAAGTTTACAGCCAGTTTCACACCTGTATCAGAACTAACACCTACTAGGAATATGTCCAATGCTGTTTTTAAAATCTCAACCACGCAAAAACTCTGCAATCCCATTCAAAGGAAAAGCCTATCAACACTTACGCTTTCATGTAATCCTTGATGTACTTCTTGTAGGATTCTTTTGTGAAGCTGGTCTCCTGAAGGTGGTGGTTAATTACTATATCAACACCAGTTATGACCGTGGCTTCTGTTCCATCTCCCTCTGGACCTTCAGCAGAGGCATTGCCACCAATTAGAGAGTCATCAATTTGACCCTCTGTCCTGGTGACCATCTGGATTTAGAGACATCAAAAAACTTAACGGCTCTGCAAAAAACCTTAATGCTACCACTCTTACACACCTATGACTTGAGAGCAGGACATTACTCCAGAGCCACAGATCAGTGCAAGGAACCTGACTGCAGCCTAAGCACTAATTTCCCAGTGACAGGAGAAGGGGGAACAGGTTCAAATTGAAAGACAGGTTTAGATTAGACACTAGGAAGAAATTCTTTATTGTGAGGGTGCTAAGGCACTGATACAGGTTGCCCACAGAAGCTATGAATGCCCCATCCCCAGAAGTGTTCAAGGTCAAGTTGGATGGGGCTTTGAGCAACCTGGTCGAGCAAAAGGTATCCCTGCCCACAGCAGGGGGGTGGAACTAGATGGTCCTTAACGTCCTTTCCAACCCAACCCATTCTATGATTCTGTGACTGCCATGCCGGGTGCCTCTCCTGGTGCCTGAGCCAGGCTCCATTACACTCCAGCCTGGTTGACCCGGGCTCTCTCAGGCACCACCCGGGGTAGCAGCCAGCCTTGCCCCGGCACAGGCACCGGGCCGCGGTGGGTCACCCCTCCCTCGGGCCCCTCGCAGGGACGCCACCCCCGCTCCCCACCGGCCCTGAGTCACCGCAGCATCCCTGCCCCGCTCCCTCCCTTCCTCTCTCCCTCGGGGCGGGCGGGCACTCACCTTCCCCTCCACTTCCAGGCACAGGCCGTCCGCCACCTCCCGGATCTTGTAGATGTCCGAGAACATCTCGTCCTCTGCGGGGACACGCAGACATGCATACACAGGGTCAGCCCCCGCCTGCCCGCACCCCCGCCCGCCCCGCTCCCGCCCCCGCGCCCCCCCCGCCTGGCCCCGCATCGCACATGCGCGGCGGCACCGCCAGGCCCGGCGCCCGGGCCCGGCCCGCTCTACCCCCCCCACCCCACGCACCCGCCCGGCCGCCGCTCCCGGCCGCGCCGCGCCCCTCCCGCCCCCCCGCGCCCTTACGGCTGATGCAGTCCCGGTAGATGATCATGGCGGCGGCGGGGGGCGGCGGGGGCGCGGGGTCTCAGCGCAGCGACCCGGGCGCGGGGCGGGAGCGGGGCGGAAAAGGCCGAGTCAGCGCCTGCTGGGGCTCATATAGCGGGCACGGCCCCGCGCGTCACCGCGCACGCGCACTGCGCATGGCCCCGCCCCCTCCGCGGGCGGCGCCCCCGCGCGGCCGCTCCCGGGACCGCCCTGGGAGGGGGACACGGCCCCGAGCGCTCCCGCAGCGCCGGCCGGGAGAACTCCGCGACATCCAACTCGCCCGCTCCTCCGCAGCGCCTCCGCTCCACAGGGGAGGCTGGTGTGGAATTCCCCACCTCTGCTTCGGTGCCGCCCAGGGGAGCTCTGAATCCTTCGCCGCGTCTTGCGGTGGTGGAGCAGGTGAGGACCCTTCCAAAAAGGGGTGCTGTGCCTGGCAGGGTGTGCCAAGGAGGGCAGGGAGCTCTGTGAGACCTCATCGCAGAAAAATCATAGAATTACAGAATATGCTAAGTTGGAAGGGACCCATCAGGATCATCGGAGTCCAACCCTTAGCCCTGCACAGGACCATCCCCAAGAATCCCACCATGTGCTTGTGAGCATCGTCCAAATGCTTCTTGAAGTCTCAGGCTTGATGCTGTGACCACTTCCCTGAGGAGCCTGTTCCAGTGCCCAACTACTCTTAGGGTGAAGAACCCTTTTTCTAATATCCAACCTAAACCTCCCCTGACACAAGGCCATTCCCTTGGGTCCTGTCACAGGTCACCACAGAGAAGAGATCAGTGCCTGCCCCTCCTCTTTCCCTCGTGAGGAAGTTGTAGACTGCAATGAGGTCTCCCCTCAGTCTCCTCCAGGCTGAACAGACCAAGTGACCTCAGCCACTCCTCATACGGTTTCCCCTCAAGGCCCTTCACCATCCTCATTGCCCTCTTTTGGACCCTCTCTAACAGCCTAATATCTTTCTTACATTGCAGTGCCCAAAACTGCACATAATATTAAAGGTGAGACTGCCCCAGTGCAGAGCAGAACAGAGCAGACAATCCCCTCCCTCAACCAGCTGGTGATGCTTTGCCTGATGCCCCCCAGGACATGGTTGGCCCTCCTGGCTGCCAGGGCACTGCTGACTCATATTCAACTTGCAAAATGGGAAAGAGGGTTTCATCCTTCCAAAGTCAGAAGGGGTCAGGGCTGGCAGGGACCTCCGGAGAGCAGCCAGTCCTGCCCCGCGCCAGAGCAGGGCTGGTGCCTCTCCCTCATCACCTGTCCTTGCATTTCATGGGTTTCAACCCCAATTTTCCTCTTTCTTCTAATCTTTTAACCTCTCAGTAACACTTTTCTTTTTGTCTAGCTTCTTGTGATGTTTCTGGGATGTCTCATCCCTGGCCCATTTCTTATTACACAGTCACTGAGCTGGGCCGATCACATTTACATTTTCTTTTTGCCAGTTGGTGCAAGATGGAAACAGCTTTTGGACATATCTATGCATCCGCTCTTTTTCCTCAATTTTTTTTTTTCCAGGGAGAGAATTACTCTCTTTTTTTTCTGTGGTATTATAAAACATCTTTGCACCCCCATATTCCAAACCAGTTTCCCATTTTACATAGGCATGCTCATAAATAAGAGCATGCTCATAAATAAGGTAAAACAAGAATGCCAAGGCAGTGGAAGGATTAAAAAAAGGTTTATTTCAGATGCAAGGACCACTTCTTAAGGGTGTTGCACATACCGGCCCCCGGGGAAAAAGGCAATGCCCCGCCTTCTCCAAGGCTTTTTGTATCTTTTCTCTGTCCTCCCCCACCCTCTCTGGCCCGAGGAGGCCTTGCACATGTCTGCAAACATGTTATCTCTCTGCATACCAGGGAGAGAGATTGCTCACAGCTTATCCCTGCAACTTTCTCTGAAATGCAGAAGGGAGGAAAAAACCCCACATCTAACCCGTTTGAGAAGGCATTTTACAGTCTTCCTAAATGAAATCAAGTTCTAGCTTTCCATCACAAATTCTTCTGAAATGGTACCTATCCCTATAAATACACACTTTCCAAGGAGAAGCGCTCCCAGTCTTTCCCAGACACCCTGGGGAAGCGCTGCTGCCCGTGTCCCACCAGCGCCCAGGTGTCACCTCCATAGGCAGCCTGGCAGGTGTGTGCATGTGTGTGTCTGCTGTCCTGGCCACCTCCAGCTGCCTCCTCCTCATGATCTCCATCATCTGGACAGACTGCCACAATGTGAACCCTGCTCACACACTGCTAAGGGGCTGCAGACCCCTTACAAGGGCAGTGACACTGGGACATGGACATTCATTTGCTGTACTGGGTGCTGCACCTTCTCCGAATAAGTGATGCTTTTCAAATGGGCAAATAATTAAGAAGCCATTAGACTCTTTCTGTTATTAGTCCCTCACGTAAATCAAGTTGGGTATGTTCAGAGACACCACTTCTGCACTTGTGAAAGGGGTGGTTAATTTTTGGGGCAGGTATATTTTTCCAAGAATAAGTGAGATTTAGCCCAGCAGTCAGGGTCGAGATGAAAGGCAGAAGGACAGTAATTCCTAGACCTTTTTTCCCCCTTTGGACATACTTTTCTGCAGCAGCCCATCACAGTTGAAATAAATCCAGACCTCACTTGAACCCTGATTCTTAGGGGACATTGCTAAAATACCTTCAAAAGACATCATGGGACCTAAAACGCTTAGTGCTGCTAATGATCCTGGACTTGACAGAGACACCAGGGCACAGGATACAATTCCCAGTCCCTCACCATCCTCAGGCAGTAAATTACTCATTGCTTTCTTTGTGTGTGCCAGAAGAGCTCCTGTTTTATCTCCTCCCCTGCTCTTCCTTCCTTTGCTCCAGATATCAGTGCCCTTTTTTTTTCAGATGGTCTACCTGGTTATATAATCTAATGAAGTATATAAGTCATTCTCTGCTGTTTTTCACCTTCAAGAATACTGCTGCTGTTTCAGGCCTGAAGAAGGGGCTTCTGCCCAAAAGCTTATCTGTCTTTTTTTTCCTCAATGACATCTGGCCTGATAAAAGATAGCCCCTCTTTTTACAAACCACAGTAGAAAAAGAGCAACTTATGTCTTTAGCAGTGGGTTGAGTGACAGGGGAACATTTGGCTCCTTCTACATAGTGTAATCTGCAGCTAAAAACATCCAGTTAGTAGGTGTGCTTCAATTTCGTTTTATTTTGAAGAGAAATAGAAAAATGTTCTAGAAAAATGAATATTTCTACAGTAGTGTGGAAACCTCTTACAAATTCATCGCTTCATCCTTTTACTGGAGTCAGGGCAGAAATCCTTTAGCACAATGTGAAGGTAGATGGACCTTCAGGTTGTTTTGCCTGTAGGTCTATGTTAAGAGTTGCAATTGTGAAATGTGAGATATTATTTAAAAATGCATCTGTTAAATAGACTCCTGTGTGAGCACCAGTTTGATGTGAAGTTAAGCTAAATCAGTATCAAGCTCAACAAGCTTTAAATGAGACTAGGAGTGTCGAAAAGGTTTTGTATCCTTTTCACTTGAGTTGCTTCTAAAACTGATTTAAACTCAGACAACTGAATAAATCCCAGGACTAAGTTAGCAATATTTTAGTTGGCTTTCTGTGCAGGCAGCCTCTTCAAGCACTTCTTGCATCTAGCTAGAGTTAATATGTTCCAGAGTGATAGGTTAAAACGGTGCTACCCCCTTCCCTCCAACTTTTTAGGTGCTGACTGACATCCAAAATGATGTGACAGGTTTCCCTGACAGCGCACCTCATCTTTGGGGATGTGTAAGTCCCCGAGGACTGATGGAAATCCTGTGCTTTTATAGATGAGTCTTTTAATAGTGTTTGAGGAGGATTTTCTAGGCAGGTGTGTGCAGAGTCTCATGAGAAGCCTTTCTCATGGAAGCCACACCTCAGCTAGTTGTGAATTATTGCAGTGTTACTTTCATCAAGTATTAGCATCTGGATATGACTGTGCTCAACTAATTGTGTCTTGGATTAAAATGCCAGATGACAGCTGACACTATGCCATTCTTTCCCTAAGTAAACAGTACATTTTCAGCCCACTGTGGCAAAACTCCCATCGAGCTGTAAGAAAAGGGAGGAGATCATGCCTGCAGCTAAGTCTCCTGCAAAATGCAACCAGTGGAAATAAATGAGAAGTGAGGCTGGAGGAAGAGCGTTGATGCTGGACTATGACATAAGGGATGGCATCAATGTTTTCTTCTAAGCCTTGTAATTCCTGGCTGGAATTTAGGACTGAAACAGGGGCTGTAACTTTGTATCCCCTTGTACTATCCACACAGGTGGAAACAGTCGCTTTAACTGGTTTTGATCAAGTTCTTTCCCCAGTGTATTTCAGGGCAATCAAGATTGATCACTAGGTGTTAAACCTTCTTATTAATTGGGAATTGAACTCCAAAAACGATGCCATCAGTCTGATTCTTTCAGGTGAGTCTAGGTTACGCAATATAGCCAGCCTTTCAGTTCTTGGCAATCCTTGGAGTGTTTTGGATCTTGAGCCAAAATTCATACTTAAGATCTTAGTATACTTAAGATCTACACAGTGTACAAAGCCAGAAACCCAGATGCCAAGATTAGTATTTGAAAGAATTGAGCTTTTATCATCAGTGTAGCTTATCTGGTGTGATCTATTCACAAATAACAGACTATGTTAGACTGGACTAGATAGATGAAGATACCCCAAACAAAGGCATCACTTTTTAGAATATAAGAAAGGTCTTCGGTTCAGCAACAACCCCTCTTGCACGCAGAATGAATGCAGGTGTTCTTACTCTTTTTCAATATTTACAATTCCTCCTGTTGCAGCTGAGTCTCTGAAAATCCTTGGCATCTTCCTTGGCTGTACACCCACAGCTCTGTTTCACTTGATGGCTGCTGCACTTCTTCGAACGGACACAGAGGTCACTGTGCAGCCACAAACCCCTTTTATCTGTGACATGACATGCACCAGGTCAGCTCACCTAAACCCTGCCCTGGGGATGTGTGAGGATGTCAGCTGGCACTGCAACTACTGTATTTTTGGGAAAAGCAGAACTGCAATTGCCAAGATAAAACTTTGAAGCAAGCTGCTGCTCACCTACAATTTTAGACTTGGTAACCTTATAAACATCCCCGTGAGTCAAGAGCTGTGGAGAAAGGCCTGCAC